AAAATGGTTGGTGTGTTGCCATCGTGACGTACATACACGTGTAGATACACCACCGCTCGGCGGACGGCCCTGGATCAGATTATCGTCATCGTCACCTGTTGCCGAGGCGACACATGCGTTGCTCCTTTTCCATCTAGCCATTATATCGGGAGTGAAGCTGCGTGTTTGTTTTCACCACTCGTGCCAAATAAAACGAAAGTGTGATGGGGTGAGAGGTTAGCTAAAATCATCCATAAGCCGAGTATTGGCTTGCAGTGCGATTTTCTAGAGTTCCGTAGAAACCCATCTCGATCGGATATTTCGTCCCGGTGACATAATGAAAATAGTGGAACAGGACAACCCCTTATCTTCCTGCTCGCGAAACAGGTACATGTCATAGGTTGTTTATGGTTATTTTTTTATTAGGGATATCCCGCGCGAATTTATTATTTAACCTAATCTGGTAAGCCGGCATTAAATAAAGTTAGTCTAAACTCTACAGTCGATCTAATCTACCAATTCCTATTTAAGGATAACGTGATCGACATCTATGCGAGTTATTTAAAAAAAAAGAAAAGAAAAACACGGCATGTTAAAATTACTACACCGATAAAAAACCGCCTCAATATTGATACTTAGACGACGGGAGGAACCGAACATTCGAGATAACCACAAAGTTGCAGCTGATAAGTCGCGTGTGCCTGTCGGTTTTCGATCAAAGGTTAATTTTAGAAATGTTTATGGCAATACGATGTACGTCTGGCTGATATTTAATGAGTCGGAAGGTGGCTGATTAGGCTATTTTTAGATTCAGAAGAGTATGAGTATTGATGAACGTACAATGCGTAGTTGCTACTCCGCAATTGACCAGATCCAGCGAAATTTAAAAAAAAATCAATCGGTGAATCAGTACTATCAAGGTCAATGGCGGCGCCGGCCATCTTCTTGCGACTATCAGTGAGGGAAAGGATTGTTAGTTCGACATCTACAGCTCTGCTCTTATCGTACTCTCTTGCCGTGCGGATCTATTTGCTTTTCGATGAAGGAAGTGTTGCCTGCAAATTGTCTACTTTGTTCGATTCTTATTCCTCTTCCATCCTTGTTTGGATCCTACCCGAGGCAATCCTGCTTGGATATCGATTTGGGAAATTCCTCTTTGATCCTTCGAATTCTAAGAGTACTCTGTTTGGAAGTCGATTTTGAGAAACTTTCTTCTGTAGACAGGCGCCTAAAGGCAAAAGAAAAGCGCAATCTCTTGATTCCCTTCTGATGAAATTTATTTGAGCTATCAATTTTATATGCTCACGGATGATGAGAATGATCCATCATCCAGACAAAACTCCACTAAATTTTCCCGGCATAATGTCTAGCAGGAAAAGGTCCCTTCTATTGTGATAACCACTTCCGATTTCCGTGCTCTTCGCACGGAACTTTTGAACTTCGTGAAATTCAAGTTTTCACTTGAAATTGGCCGTCATATTAACTGAAAAATTGGATGGATTCAACCGTCTTCTTAAGTATCTTACTGAGAAGCAGCACACATTTTTCACTTATGGCACCAACACTGAACGTCAGTTCAAGGTTGTCCAGAAATGTCTGCCCACTGGTGAATCCCTGGATCAGATCAAAGATGAATTGACAAGGGGCTGTACTTGTGAACGGAAGGCGGTAAACGCTTCACAAAAGGAAACTCGCTCGCTACAATTTGTTTTGAAAGTACCCGTGTCTCAGTGTAGAATGTTTCGTCTCGATACGTGCAGTTTAAAAAAAAAAAGTGATACTAGATTGAAAACGAGAAAACCCGACGTGGTCAATTCGAAATATTGCAAAAAAATTGAAAATTTCCGTGGAAGCTCACAAGAGAGCAGGGTTGGAAAGCACCTCAGGACAGGGTTGGTAGCGTGTCACTTTTTAGTGACTTGGTCACTTTTTTCAATCCAGTCACTAAAAAGTCTCCTTTTTTAAGGCCAAGTCAAACTAAAGTCACTTCTTCTTGTAATCAGTCACTATTTCAACTTTTTTAGCGTGCATTTATTTCATGATTGATCATCCTATGCTTTGTGACGTTTAATAGTCTTTCTCTGTCTACAGGGTGTCTACACGATTTTCCAAATAAAATTACCTGAGTTTTCCATGTTCTTCCAAAACATTAACGGATACATTACAGGCTTGTAATAAGAAACCTATTTTTTAAATGCGTTAAAAATATGCTTTTTTGGTAGATCAAAAATAACACCAATTAACCCAAACGTTTTTTTTAAGACATGGTAATCAGTTTCAAAGAATCAGCTTTACATTCAAATCCATTAAATGTTGAAGTTTAACACTTACTTAATTTCTCACTTTAATAATTAAGATCTAAAAATCTTTAATAATTAAGATCTAAAAATATTCAATGCCTAGAATTTTCGTGCCAGAAGTAAGAAATAAAAAAACATATTTATTTCAATTAACTTTATGAAAGATTAGAGATCTTCATTGCAGTCCCATTAACTTCACAACAATTGTAGGAAATGCTGAGAATTTCAGTGAAGCTCCATAAACAAACTACAGGAACACAAGGAAAGTTAACACGCTGACAATATGGGGAACTTATTTACTGGAAGCTGTAAGAACCTCAAACCTGTTCTTTTAGCATCCAAAAATTTCCAGGAAGTTATATTAAGTTCCTAGAATGTCAAAGAACTTCACAAGTGTCAAGCGAATCTGAAAAATATTGAGGGGTATTGTGCAAATTTTTAAGAAGTTCTAAGCACCTCAGAAAAGCTAGATGTAGAGATCTTTGGGGAATTTCAGAACTTAAGAGCAGTTAACGTAACTTTCGTCCAAACTTTTGGAGCAGTTTAAAGATATATAATCGTAAATTTAGAAAAATTCAGGAAACTCAGGGAATTTCCGGACTTCAGCAAAGCTCCGAGAGAATTTCTTGAACGTGATAATAATTATATGAATATCCGGAAAACGTGAGAGTATTTTAAGAGTGTTATATCATGGAGATTTCAAGAACTTAAAAAAATGCGAAAATTTAGCTAAGTTGATATGCGGCGAACCTGGAAGAGGGACGGACAAGGGCGGCCGCGGCCCCCATTCCCCTTCGGACAACGCGGGATTCAAGGCACAGCATAATATCGGGACGGATAAGGGCAGTTGTTCCCATTCCCCGAAGGACAAAGAGGGATTCAAGTCCCAAACCAGTAGCTCACCCTCAAACATAGTTCCAAGCTCAAATACAACGATAGATTTCTTCACCACCGTTGGGACGCCCCTGCCCCGGGTGGGTGGAACGACTCCACCTGCCCCTGGTGGGGATCCGTCTCATTCGGCACAAAGTTCTGCCGCAGCAAGTCCGACTGGAACACCCCCAAATTCCAGTTACTACGCAATGAGCCATCACCACTCAATCGAACGACCTTCAACCAGCGGATCGGAGCGGGGGTTTCCTACCCCCGCCCTACCGGTTCCGGTGAATCTTATGCTCCAATGGAATATCAGCGGCTACTTTCTCCACTTGGCGGAGTTGGAACTCCTCTGCAGCGGTGCGTCCCCCTGGTGATTGCCCTGCAAGAGGTCAACAACGTCACGGTGGACCGGATGAATAAGACACTTGGCGGCGATTACTTATGGTCCATTAAACAAGGATCTAACCTTCGGAGATCTGTGGCCATAGGAGTCCGTAAAAATGTCCCCCATCAAATGGTTGATCTCGATACCGACCTCCCTATTGTCGGCATTCGGATCCAAGACCCAACTAGTATCTACATCGCCTGCGCCTATCTGCCCTGCGGAAGACTACCCAATCTAGGAACCGAGATTCGCAGAATACTTCGGCAGTTACCAGAACCCAAAATGTTCATTGGGGACCTGAACGGCCATCACCCGGCCTGAGGTTGTCCAAGAGCTGACCCACGAGGGGTCACCATCTGCGATATTTTTGAGGAGGAAGATTTAGTCATCCTAAATGACGGGGGCCCGACGTTCTTTAACGGACGGCACACCACCGCCATCGACGTGTCCGAAGTTAGCCGCTCCTTAGCGGGCAAAATGCTATGGGGCATCAACCCGGATCTGCACGGCAGCGACTACTATCCGGTACAGATCCGGTTATCCGCCGCAATGGCACCGGAGAACACCAGAAGACCACGGTGGCGGTATGGAGAAGCCGACTGGGAGGGCTATCAGCTCTCTTACCGAACTCTCGCGCAGACTGAAGAACCTACGGACATCCCAAGTATCACGGGAGTCATCCACAAAGCAGCCAGCGCCAACATCCCAAGAACAGGCAGTATTCCCGGGTGGAGGGCACTCCGATGGTGGAATGAAGACACGAAAAGTGCTGTAAAAGCCAGGTGGAAGGCACTCCGTAAACTCAAACGAACCTCTACGAACGACCCTGCGAGAGAGGAAATCCTCGCAAACTACCGCCAGCAGCACAACAAATGCCGACAGGAAATCCGGACGGCGAAGCAAAATAGCTGGTCGGATTTCCTGGAAAGCATCAACGCCGAACAATCGTCAGCAGAACTGTGGAGCCGCATCAATGCCCTCAGCGGCAAGCGGCGATCATCGCCGCTACAAGTGCAAGCCGACACCGTTACCATCACCGAACCAAACGCCGCAGCAGATGAACTGGGAAAATACTTCGCCAAACTATCAGGAATCGCGGAGTACAGCGAAAGTTTCCAACGACGAGTCGGTCCTTCGCTGTCCTCGGTGCCCACTTTCGGAATTCCCACAGACAACGACGACCTACCGATCAACCAACCATTCTCATGGGAAGAATTCTCGTTCGCTCTTAGCCGGAGCAACGGAAACTCGGCCGGACCGGATGAAATCGGATACCTACTGCTGAAGCATCTACCGCTCGAAGGGCAAACACAATTGCTCGAACTCTACAACCAGCTATGGACCAACGAAGAATACCCGGACAAATGGAGAGAAATTGTCTCGTGATCCCGATCCCCAAAACAAATATAGGGACCAAGGACGTCACAGGATTCCGCCCCATCGTGCTGACCTGCTGCATGGCCAAAGTCTTGGAGCGGATGGTCAACAGAAGGCTCAAGCAATACCTGGAGTCTAAGGGACTGCTTGACCATCGACAGCACGCCTTCAGGCAAGGGTACGGTACCTCCACCTACTTCGCCACTCTTGGAGAAGTGCTGAAGGAGGCACAGGACCAAGGCTATCATACGGAGATCGTCTCGCTGGACATCTCCAAAGCATTCAACAGAACGTGGACACCAGCAGTAATGAAGAAGTTAGCCGAATGGGGACTAAAAGGACGCATCCTACACTTCGTCCGAAACTTTCTGACCGACCGATCTTTTCGGGTGTCGGTCGGAAACGTCCAATCCAGAAGGTTCAGCGAAGAAACCGGAGTACCACAGGGTTCGGTGATCGCGGTCACCCTCTTCCTGGTGGCCATGAACGGGGTCTTCGACAAGCTACCCAAGAACATATATATTTTCGTCTACGCGGATGACGTCCTCATTGTAACGGTGGGCCCCATCCTGCAGAGGACGAAATTAAGAGCGCAAGCGGCAGTCTCCTCGGTGGTCAGATGGGCTGACTCCGTTGGGTTCCAGCTTTCCGCCAGCAAGAGCGTGCGCTGCCATATATGCACCACCCGGCATCGGAACAACGGACAGCCCATCATGATCAAACAGCAAGCGATACCGACCAAAAACACAATAAGGGTCCTGGGAGTGCTCCTCGATCGGAACCTATCCCTCGAGCCGCACTTCCAACAGGTGAAGAAGGACTGTCGTAGTCGATCCAACCTGATGAAGACCATCTCCCGCCCCCACCGATCCAACAACCGTGAAATCCGCTTCCGAGTAGCCCGAGCCATCATCGACAGTCGCCTATTGTACGGCGTAGAACTAACGTGCCTTGCCGCCGAGAAAGTCGTCCAAATCTTGGAACCGGTCTACAACGGATTCGTAAGAACAGTCTCCGGTCTCCTGCCCTCCACCCCGGCCGACGCCGCGTGCGTTGAAGCCGGTATTCTGCCTTTTCGGCTCGTCTACACCGCAGCTACCGCTACCAAAGCCGCTGCCTTCCTCGCTAAAACGTCGGGAAACAGCAGGATCTTTCTCCTCGACGAGGCGAACCGACTCCTCCGCACGGTCGCCGACGTAGATCTCCCTCCAGTGGCCAGGGTCCACTGGCACGGAGACAAAAGTTGGCAATCACATCAGATCAGAATCGACAGCCGAATCAAGGACCGCTTCAGGGCAGGAGACAACTCACTGGCTTTGCGCCGGACAGTCGTCGAAACTCTCGGGGCGCACTATCAAGATCACGAAATCAGGTACACCGATGGCTCGCTCTCCAGCAGCGGAGTGGGAATGGGGGTTTCAGGAGATAGTTTGGTCGTCAGCAATTCACTTCCGGCCCAGTGCTCGGTGTTTTCCGCTGAGGCAGCGGCTGTCTTTCACGCAGCCACCCTTCCGGCCAATCGGCCGATCCTCATCGTTACCGACTCACAAAGCGCAATAATGGCCCTAACCGATGAAGCACCAAAGCATCCGTGGATACAAGGGACGGTAACGCATGCGCCGCCCAACACCGTATACATGTGGGCACTGTGGCATCCAGGGGAACGTGATCGCCGACCACCTCGCCGGCTCAGGCCCCATCGGACCCAGGTTCTCTGACAATGTTCCGTTCCAGGACATCAAGAAATGGATCAAGCGGACGGTTCGGAGAGCGTGGGACAACGAGTGGAGGAACAATCGAACTCACCAACTACGAAAAATCAAGGCGACCACCGATCCCTGGAAGGATCGACCGAGCCTCAAGGAGCAGCAAGTGGTGTCCAGGCTGCGCACCGGGCATAGCAGGGCCTCCCATAATTTCGGAGGAACACCGTTCCGGAGAACCTGCGAAACCTGCGGAGTGCCAGCCTCCGTAGAACACATCCTCATCAACTGTGTGGAGCTCGAGGACCTTCGGGTTGCCTTCGGTCTGGAGGGAACCAGCATACGAAGTCTGCTTGGCGACGAGTCCCCGGCAGCAGACGCCCTCATCGCCTTCCTGAAGGAGGCGAATCTTTTTTACAACATTTGAGTGTTTTCTGTTTGTGCTTTTGAATTCGTCGGTCCTTTTGGTAGTGTTTTTACAATATTTTATATAATTAAGCTAAATACCCACTTGCCAAGATTGGGATCCTTCTTTTGAGGTCCCAATTCTTTTTTGTAATTTTTAAAAAAGATGAACTAGCCTTAGGCTAAAAATCTCTCTAATAAAGGAAAAAAAGCTAAGTTGATAAGAGAATACCAACAATGTTCCATTAATTAAAGAAAAATGTGAGAACTTTTAGCAAGCAGCAATATCTTCTAGAAATTCCAGAAAATTTCTTATTTATTTCGATATTTTTAGATAGTTTCATGATATTCAGCGAAGTTCCGAGTACTTCAAGGACGATCAGATAGCTTCACAATAATCCCATTAACTTAAAAAAATTGCAGCGACTTACATGGAGTTCCGTGGAATTATGGGGTATTCCAAGAATTCTACGATTGATGCGAAAACGTCAGAAAGCGACAGGGAATTATGAATATATATATATCAGAAAATTTTCCGGATTAATAATCAAATTTAGAGAACTTCAGGTAAGTAAAGATAAGATCAGGGAAAATTAGTGAGCGTTTATAATGGTTATAATACTTAAGGAAAGTTGTCGAAACTTCAAGGCATATCAATTTATTTCAGTAAAGTTTAGTAAGGTTCTTAAAAACTACTGATAAATTCAGGGCAGACTAGAGAACTTTAAAGCAATTCAGAAATTGTTTAGGCAGGCTTAACAACACCAAGACAATCTAGACTATTGAAGAAGTTTTAAATCAGTGTCGTTCTAATTCCATGAAAATTGCGGGAGCACAAAGTTTCCATGGAGTTCCGTGGAAAAATTTAGAAAAACTTCGAACTTTACAGAAGGACAGTGGTCTTCAGAAACATTTCGCTATCTTATGGAGAAATCTATGGAGCTTAAGAGGAGATCCGCGAACTTTTGTATGAACATCTCAGAATCTCAGGGGAAGGTCAGTTCCATTAGTTTCAGAAAATTAGTGGGAAATTTGAAGCAATTCCCAGATTTTCAGATAACTTCAGATACGTTAAAAAGTTCACTGAAGCTTAAACATTTTTAGGACCGTTCAATTAAATTCAGCGCAGTTCAACAAGCTGCATGAGAACTGCAAAAACTTTAGAGAATATTTGAGAATTTCAGAAAAGAATACAGAACCTCAGAGCCGTACCTTTTACATTAGAGAAGTCACATAAATTTTAAAGAAGTTTAGAGAACTTCAGCGAATTGTCAAACCTTTAGAGGAGATCCATGATCGTTAGAAAAATTGAGGAAACTAGGAATTCCTATAAAGTTCAGGTAAATTTGAAAATTTGATGAGAAGTATTGTAAGCATTAGGCTAGTTTCTCAAACTAAAAAAGAACTTCAAGGCAGTTTCATAAATTTCAGGACAATTTTGGTAACTTTCAAATAGTTCTGAAGACCTCAGAATAGTCGATTACATATTCAACGGAGATGTCCATTGAAATATTCCTCAAAATTTCGATGAAGCTATCCCCGAATTTTTTTTTTAGTTTTCCTCGGAATTACCTTGAAATTCTCCACAATATCAACCATTTGGAAAGATTCTCCGAATATTCATTGAATTCATTTCCGATTTCTTTTTGAATCTCACTCCTTCCCTTGGCATTCTACTCACGTTGAAAGTCTCCCAAGAATTCATTGGCATTTCTTCTCACAAATTCCTTCGATTTCTTCTCATAATTTGTTTGGCAAACTCTCCTGAATTTATTTTCCGAATTCCTTTGAAGGTGTCCTGGAGTTATTCACAGATTTAATTGTGATCCTCCTTTTAGTATTTTAAAACTAATTCCAAGGATTTATGCTCCGGATTCGTTTTCTACCACAAACTTTATGTAATTTTCCCCAAAATGCCCTTGGAATTTTCCTCTGAAGTTCACAGAAGTTGAGCTTCTCAAAAAATCCTATGAGTTTTCATTAAAGTTTACTTCTAATTCAATTCAGGGTTTCTTGAAATTCTACTCAAAACAATCAGGCTTAACATGAAATCTAAAATTCCTTAGAACTACCTTAAAAGCAGATAGCGTTTGATGTTTTTCTGAAAGATTTTTTTTTTCCAGAACTCCCTTGGAATGATTTTTTTCCCAGAACTCCCTTGGAATGAGGTCCATAGAAATAATAATAAAATTCCACGAGAATTTGAAATTTCTTGAAGTATTTGTATTGTATTTTCTTCTCTTAGGTCACTTTTAAGTCACTATTTTAACAACTATAACTCACTATTTGGTCACTTATTTCTTCAACATGGTCACTTAAATCACTATTATTGAGAGCAGTGATCGCTACCAACCCTGTCAGGGCGTTAGCAAAGCAACTTTGTGTATGCATCTCACAACACTCGACAAAGAGTGTGTGGTTCTCCCATTTACTTCGCACACTATTTTCCAACTAATCTGTGAGAAAGCGATCCACACAATGAGCGGTACACTCCGTGCGCCGCAGGGAGCGAATGTCTTCTTTGAATTCTTTGCAGACTTTGCTTACCACGACTGCATGCATCGGAGACGCAGAAGGGCATAACAAAGAAGAATTTTGTAGTTTTGCTGTGTTTCTAATTTGCAACCCTACACTGAGAGGTGCTCTTTGCGTCGGAGCCACATTGAGCTTTCGTTATTCTCGGTGTGTGTCTGTGTTCTCTTTTCCGCTGCTTTACACTTGCGCAGGGTGAAAAACAAGCCAACTTTGTGTTTGCTTGATTCTCGCTTTGTACATTTCAGATAATCAGTACATTGCGCGCATTGAGTGATCAGATGACAGCCCTGCAAGAGTATAACCCGGAAGGTTCAAAGCAAACGTCGTTCTGGCATCTTGGATCGGCAACTGAACTGGAAGGTGTTGAGGTCGATCAAGAGAAACCCAGGACCCTCTGAGCGGGATGTCGCCAAAAAATACGGTGCCAGCCATCAGCGTGTAGGTCACCGTTCATACCGTGCCTGCAAGCAACCGAACAGGACGATGAAGCACAATCTAGTGGTCAGAACACGCGCCCGGAAGTTGTACGACCGGGTTCTGACGAAGTACAGAGGATGCCTTCTCATGGACGATGAAACCTACGTCAAGATGGATTTTCAGCATGTTCCCGGACAAAAGTTTTATATGGCGGGGTGATGTCCCCAGCAAATTCAAGTTTGATTTCGCCGATAAATTCGTCCGGAAACTGAAAAAAAAATGCCGCTGAGGTTGGTCCAGTCCAGTGTGCGGCAGATGGTGGCGGGAATTCCAAAGAAAGTCTGCGAGTTCATCCGAACGTTGTTCATTAACTCTTGATTGCTTGTAATACTTATGAATATTTTAGGTGGACAAAAAGGTGAACTAAGAGGTGGACGCCTGAGCTTTTCCACATTTATATCGCTGTGAAGCAACTGTAAACTCTAGAGGGAATTTATATCTGTAACTGAAACCAGTTCGATTTTGTTTGCCAACCTGGTTAAAATGTCATATATAATTATCTTAAAGATAAATCGTCCAGCTCAAACCTTTGTAGGGGTAAGAGGTGGGACCATCATCATCTTTTAAAAGTACAATAAAATACCTTCATTTTGACTAAATTACATTTTCCTTACTCCAATCCCGAGAAACACCTGGTTTTATGTGTCCGACCAGACTTTTTTCATCAACATAATTCCGTAAAATGATGTATGAAGCTTTTGTATGTTTTGATATTACCTAGAACTTTTATCAATAACCTAAATCTGTATCTCCTGTTCATGATGAATAACCAGAGCGCGAACATAACCGATCATTGTTTTTCAGTGAATGTAAATTACATTTGTGATTGTAAGTGATTGATTGGTGACTGGCTTTTTAAACTGATTGTAGAGCTTAGATTTTTTATTCAAAGTGTAACAAAGAACAAAGAGTTTTTGCCACGATAAAAAAAATTAAACAGTGGGTATTTTCCGTGCGTTGACGACTGCCGCACCTAAATGTCACAGTTCCGCAAGGCACCTTTGACGCCGCATGTGCACCCAAGGGGCAGTACGTATTTCTTAGAAAATTCACAGGGTCAACACGGAAACAGAAAGGAAAAAAAAAGCACTCTGAAATCATATAAATAACGCAGTCTATTTTGCATAAATATGCATCCATAAACAAACACACGAAATGCAAAAAAAGCGCAGTAGCCTTCGCACGTTTGGTGTCCATTTGGCTCAAACACACACAGTACAGCAAGCGGCGGTGACCGTGGCCCTTTGCAAGGCCTGCTGTGCTGTGTTCTTGGCTCACTCCATCGGGATGAAACTCGGGCACAGTTCACCGCCCATGGACGAGTGCACATGCACACCGATGGATTTGAGTTCATGCACTGATGAAAATTTGAGCAATGTTTACTGAAAGTGAGCACCAAATGTTCAAGAATAATGAATAATCGACATGTAGTAAATATTGCCCCGCTCTCCTGTTTTTAATTTCTAAACCTACTTCGTAAGGATCGATTGTTTACAAACAACTAACGTCCCAAAAAACGCTTGTATAAGATTTCGATGCGAGCGGCAGGCGGCGTGTGAATTTGCGTCAGGTCAGTACGATAGACGACCCGACCCGGCCGGCACTTGTTGAGATGATAATCACCGGCTACAGCGGGCGACGACGACGACGACGACGTCGGCGAGCGTGTTTACCAAATCAGCTGCAGTGCAGTACAGAAATTTGCTGCTGCCTCGTAGATCGTCAAGTGCACAAATGCCGGGGGGAAATCCACGAATTAAATAGCTGACTCACAACATGGCGCTCGTTCGATTAGTGATAGTGCCAGAGGAAATAGAGCAGCGGTGACCTACCCGGATCATGCGTTGATTGGGTGGCATCACAAATTTTTGAACGCTGTATAATCGAGATGTAAGCTTGCCTCTATACGCTAATGGTATCGAAGTCGATCCACAAAAATGGTAAACTCAATTTCCAACCCAAAACGCTAAAAAAAAACTACAAGGGACAACCCTATGGGGTTGTACGCAA